AGAACACATTGGAGGGACTAAACAGCAAAGCAGAGAAAGCTGAGGACCGGATCAGTGAATTATGAGACAGGGTAGAAAAAATCAACCAATCAGAAAACAAAAAGGAAAAAAAATGATTAAAAACAGGAAGATAGCTAAAGAGAACTGTGGGACAACTGGAAACATAATAGCATTTGCATCATAGGAATCCCTGAAGAGGAAGAAAATGGGCAAGGGATAGAGAATATATTTGAAGAAATACTGACAGAAAACTTTCCTAACTTGGTGAAGGATGAAGGCATACAAGTTCAAGAAGCACAGAGAGCCCCAAGTAAGAAGAACCCAAACAGGCCCACACCAAGTCACATAGTAATTAAAATGTCAAAAATTTAAGACAAAGAGAGAATCCTAAAGGGAGCAAGAGATAAGCAACAGGTTACCTACAAAGAAAATTCCATAAGGATCTCAGCTGACTTCTCAATGGGAACACTACAAGCTAGAAGGGAGTGGCACGAAGTAATCAAGGTCATGAAAAACAAGGATCTGAATCCAAGACTACTCTATCCAACAAGACTAACATTCAAAATAGAAGGTCAAATAAAGAGCTTCCCAGATAAATAAAAGCTAAAAGAATACATTAGCACCAAACCAGCACTGCAAGAAAAGTTAAAAGGACAGTTGTAATTAGCAAGAGAAATAGGAAGAAAAATATAACCACATTAAACAAAAATGGGAATAAATAAGTATTTATCAATAATCACCTTAAATGTAAATAGATTGAATTCTCCGATAAAACGACAGAGTAGGTGACTGGATAAGAAAGCATGACACATCTACATATTGTTTCCAAGAGACCCACCTCACGATAAAAGACTCATATAGGTTGAAAGTGAAAGGATGGAAAAAAATCTTTCAAGCAAACAGAAAGCAAAAAAAAAAAAAAAAAAAAGCTGGAGTAGCAATACTCTTATCTGATAAAGTAGATTTCAAAATGAAGACCATAACTAGAGACAAAAAGTCCACTACATAATATTGAAAAAATCTATCCAACAGGAAGATATAACCTTGGTAAACATATATGCACCTGAAATAGTAGCACCAACATATATTAAAAATATTTTGGAGGACTTCAAAAGAGAAATTGACAGCAATACAATTATACTAGAAGACTTCAACACCCCGCTGACATCACTGGATAGATCTTCTAGACAAAAAATTAACAAGAAAACCAGACTCTAAATGAAGTGCTAGATCAAATAGATTTAAAGATATCTACAGATAATTACACCCCCAAACCACAGAATTCACATTCTTCTCAAGTGCACATGGGACATTCTCAAAGATATACCACATGTTAGGGCACAAACTAAGTTTCTACAAGTTCAGGAAGATTGAAATCATATCAAGCATCTTCTCAGATCACAATGGCATGAAAATAATTATCAACTGCAATAAGAACATGCAAAGACATTTGGAAACGTGTAGGCTAAATAGCATGTTATGGAACAATGAATGGGTTACCATGGAGATCAAGGAAGAAATTAAAAACTTCCTGGAAACCAATGGAAATGGACACACAACAACACAAAATGTATGGGATGCAGTGAAAGCTGTTCTGAGAGGGAAATTCATAGCTCTACCTCAAGAAACAAGAAAAATTTCTAACAGACTATCGAACCTCAAAACTTAAAAATCTAGAAAGCAAACAAAAACAAAACCCCAGAGCAAGTAGAAGGAAGGAAATAGTAATGATCACAGCAGAAATAAATGACATGGAGAACAACAACAACAAAAAAACCATAAAACCAAATAACAATTCAAAGGATCAATGAAACAAAAAGCTGGTTCTTTGGAAAGATAAACAAGATTGATGGACCCTTAGCTAGACTCACCTAGAAACAAAGAAAGAGAACCCAAATACATAAAATCAGAAATGAAAGAAGAGAAGTAATACCTGACACCACAGAAATACAACAAATTGTTAACAAATATTATGAACAATTATATGGCAACAAATTCGACAATCTACGCAAAATGGAAAATTTCTAGAAACACATACTCTCCCAAAACTGAACCGGGAAGAGATAGAAAACGTGCACAGACCAATAACAACAAAAGAAATTAAAGATGTAATCAAGACTCTCCCAGCAAACAAAAGCCAAGGCCCGGAGGGTTTCACGGGGGAATTATACCGCACATTCAAAGAAGAACTAATACCCATTCTCCTCAAACTATTTCAAAAAATTCAAGTAGAAGGAAGACTTCCAAACTCGTTTTATAGGGCCAGCATAATTCTAATTCTAAAATCAGAAAAAGACACTACAAAGAAAGAAAACTACAGGCCAATATCCCTGATGAACCTAGATGCCAAAATCCTGAACAAAATACTGGCAAATCAGATCCAGCAATACACCAAAACAATTGTCCACCATAACCAAGTGGCATTCATCGAAGGTATGCAAGGCTGGCACAATATTCACAAATCAATAAACGTGATACACCACATAAATAAAATGAGAATAAAAACCACATGATCATATCAATAGATGCTGAAATAGCCTTCAACAAAATCCAGCATCCATGTCTGATAAAAACGCTCAGCCATGTGAAAATAGAGGGATCATATCTAGACATAATAAAGGCCATATATGAAAGAACTACAGCCAACATCATACTCAATGGGCAAAAACTAAAAGCATTTTCCTTAAGAACAAAAACAAGGCAAAGATGCCCACTTTTGCCACTCTTATTTAACATAGTACTGGAAGTCTTAGTCACAGCAATCAGACAGGAAGAAAAAATAAAAGGAATCCAAATTGGAAAGGAGGAAGTGAAACTGTCATTCTTTGCAGATGACATGATACTATACATAGAAAACCCCAAAGACTCCATCAAAAATTTATTAGACTTAATAAATGAATTTGGCAAAGTAGCAGGATACAAAATTAAAGTCACAAAATCAATGGCATTCTTATACACCAATGATGAAATCACAGAAAGAGAAACTAATAAAACTATCCCATTTACCATTGCAGCAAAAAAAAAAAAAAAAAAGAAAAGATACCTAGAAATAAACTTAACCAAAGAAATAAAGGACGTATTCACAGAAAAGCACAGGACATTGAAAAATGAAATAGAGGAAGATATCTAGATAATAGAGGAAGATAAAAACATGGAAGCACACACCTTGTTCATGGATTGGAAGAATCAACACCTTTAAAATGTCCATACTACCCAAAGCAATCTATAAATTCAATGCAATCCCCATCGAAATCCCAACGACATACTTCGTAGAACTAGAACAAATACTTCAAAAGTTCATATGGAACCAAAAAGGACCCCGAATAGCCACAGTAATCTTGAAAAAGAATAACAAAGTTGGAGGGATCACATTTACCAGATTTCAGGTTATTCTACAAAGCCACTGTAATCAAAATAGCCTGGTACTGGCACAAGAACAGACATATAGCCCAGTGGAACAGAACAGAGAATCCAGAAATGGACCCAGGGCAATATGCTCAATTAATATTTGACAAATGTGGCAAGAGCATACAGAGGAGTAAAGACAGCCTCTTTAATAAATGGTGTTGGGAAAATTAGACAGCTACATGCAAAAAAAAATGAAACTAGACCATCAACTTACACCCTACACAAGAATAAACTCAAAATGGATAAAAGACATAAATGTGACTCATGAATCCATAAAAATCCTAGAAGAAAATGTAGGCAACAAATTTTCAACAGTATACGCAGCAGAATTTTTACTGATACATCATGTAAGGGAACAGAAACAAAGGAGGAAATGAACACATCGGACTACATCAAACTCAAAATCTTCTGCACAACAAACAATACAATCATCAAAATGGAAAGGCAACCAACTGTATGAAAGAGGATAATTGCCAATGATATATCAGATAAGGGGTTAATTTCCAATATACAGAGAGTGCTCATAGAACTCAACAAAGGGAAAACAAAGAACCCAATTAAAAATGGGAAGAGGAACTAAATAGACACCTCTCCAAACAGGACCTACAAATGGCTAAGAGACATATGAAGAAATGCTCAACATCGCTAATCATCAGAGAGATGCATATAAAAACAACAATGAGATATCACCTCACACCTGTCAGAATGGCCGCCATCAACAAATCATGAAACAACAAGTGTTGGCAAGGGTGTAGAGAAAAGGGGACTTTGGTACACTGCTGGTGGGAATGCAGACTGGTGCAGCCACTACGGAAAAAAATATGGTGTTACCTTCAAAAATTAAAAATTGAACTGACATTTGACCCAGTGATCCCACTTCTAGGAATATACCCTAAGAAGCCTGAAATACCAATCAGAAAAAATATATGTTCCCCCATGTTTGTAGCAGTATTATTTACAATAGCTAAGATCTGGAAACAGCTTAAATGTCCATCAGTAGATGAATGGATTAAAAAGCGGTGGTACATATACACAATGGAGTACTATGCAGCTGTAAGAAAGAAAGATCTCTTATCCTTTGAGACTACATGGAGGGACCTGGAAAGTATTATCTAAGCAAAAGAAGCCAAACAGAGAAAAACAAGTACCATATGATTTCACTTATTTGTGAAATATAATGAACATAATAGTGTGAGAAAGGGGTAGTTCCAGAGATGTGAAAGAGGGATACAGACTGACAATCCCCAGATGAGTGGGTGTTGGAGGAGAGATAAAATACAGAACTTATATGCATGTATGCATGAACAAAGGTCATGGACAACAGAGCTGGGGACAGGGTGTGGAGGGAGGGGGAGGGGCAAATCGGTGGGGTAAAAAGGACAAACATTTGTAACAAAAATAATTTAATTAATTAAAAAAAAAAAAACGGAAAAAAAAAACACAAAAATATATGATAAAAGGAGACCTAGCATCATTTCTACTGGTGTTTCTAACCATTGCAATCAGATAATAAAAGAATAAAAGACAAAATATAGGAAAAGAATGGATGAAACAATCTTATTTGGGATTGATGCTGCACTTAGTTCTCTTACCTTTTTGGGAAATGAGTCCCCATCCTGTAGTCCAGCAGGTAAGGTTCTGAAGGTTCACATCTGGGGTTGCAATGCAGATGGGGAGTACAGAGTCAGAAAATACAATGCGAGTTTTCAGCTGCACAAGAGCGATGTCACCTCCAATTGGGTGGTATACTTCATACGTATGATGCATGATAACCTTATTCACCTCAAACCACTGGGTATGATTGCCCGCAACCTTGAGGTCCACAAGGCCCACGTACATATCAAATGCCTCAGTGTTCTTATCCCTGTGGGGACAGAGAAGAAAAGCACAGTGGCTCAAGCACCTTGGACCTGGGGAGAAGAGCCACCATTAGCTCACAAACACGGGGCGGCCTGGAGCATGGCAGGTTGGTAGCCAGGCTCTCAACCAAGATGTGGAAAAGCAATCCTCTGCAGGACAGTGAGGACTTGTTTGGAAGGATTACCCCCAAAGAAGTCCTAGCCTGGGGCCCATGGAGGATCTGGGAAACCATCAGGGCATGCTGGCCACCATTAGCCCAGGATGGTGAGCTTGTCAGGTGTAAAATGGGCTGCCCAGAGGTTAGTGTCTTCTCAGCTCTCACCCTATGATGTGCCTCTTCTCCTCCCCTCCTATGATATGTCTCCTTTCCTCTCATCCTTTAATGAGTTTCCTCCTATTACTGTCTCCTTTTCTCACATCCTATTAATTGTTTCCTCTCCTCTCATCCTATGATATGTCTCCTCAGCTGTTCTATGATGTGTCTGTCTCCTCTCCCCATTTTTCATCCTATGATTTGGCTTCACACCTATCTCAAAGAACAGGTAGTCCTAAGGATCTGTCAGCCCTGTGCCAAGAGAAGCTATAGAAGATGTAGCTGTGTGCTGGGCTCCACTCTCTCTCCAATTCCAAGTAAACCTAGCTCTACCTGTCTTGCGTGGTCAGCCTCAAGGTCCTTGGACCTCCACAGGAATGGCATCTGGCACTACTCACTCACCTGCCAAAGCAGTGGGCTGCTGACAGGACCCAGTACTCGTTGATGATGGACCCACCACAGATGTGGAAGCCCCCATAATGCACGCTGACCTGCCACGGCCACTTCTTATCAAGGGCGTCCATGCCTCCTATGACCTTTCCCTGCATGTGACGCTGGCCACAGGCTGAGTGGAGAGATACAGAGTGTGTGAGTAGCAGCTACGCAGGAGCAGGCCAGGCCACAAGCAAAGGGGACGAAGATCTGGCGGTAGATGAGAAGTATGTGTGTGTGGGAGGGTGGGGGTGGGGGGTTACGGAAGCTGAGATAATAGGGAAGGGGAAAGAAGAGTAGGAGAGAACAGGAGAGGGCAAGGAAGGAAGGGAAGGCAAGGGAAAAGGGTCTCCAACACGGAAGGGGTGGAGGTGGGGGAGGGGTGGGTTGGGGAGGGAGGAAGTGCCTGACTGTGTCCAGAATCACTGCCAACCCAGCTTGAAGGGGTCCTACCCACGTCGTTGCTCAAGGCGAACCCCTTGCTGTCGGGGTGCCTGTTAGCCATGGCTGCATCCCAGGCGGAAAGCAGAAGGAGCAGCAGCAAGAGGAGGAGGCTCGAGGCTTTGCGTGAAGCTCCAGGGCCAGCATGAGGAAGGAAGAGCAGGGTGGTCATGAGGCTGAAGGCCCCTGAGATGCGATTTCTGGAGCTTGCTGGACTTGTGATGGCTGCCTGACGTGCGACGCCTGACGCTGCTAAAGCCCGACTGCTGCTGGACGCGCAATGGTGATGGCGCTAGGGCATGCGCATGACATTTGACAGCGGCAACCCAACTACCTCTGCACTTGATGGAGTCCTGAACGCTTTTGTCTCTGCATCTCAGATACGTCACGGTGTTCCCCTCTGCCCCTCTATCTGGACATGTTAGGACACCCCCCTGAAGCCCCAGGCAGGTACTCACTCGCTGGCATGGAGGCGGCTTTCAGTGGTCTACCTCCCCGGATGACAGACTCTCGGTGTTCTCACTCCCGAATCAGTTGTGATCAGTGATCTCCAGTGGTTTCCCTCAGGGTAAGCTGGCTGGTTCTTGGCTGATACAATGGAGCTAACTTGACCCTGTGTCTCCCAACATCCAATTAGCAAATCTGGGTTTGGTCACATGACACAGTTTATGAAAATGTGCAAGCACAATTCCTGATCTTGATCATATTTACTAATGTGACATTGAACAAAGCAAGTTATATGACCGTCAGAAAAAAAAAAGGGTTGGGAAAGTACACTATACCACTTAAGCCCCTTGAAAACTTGAGAGCTCTGTTGTTGTGACAGTATATACACAAATGAATAGGACTGTGTTCCAATAAAACTTGATTCACAGACACTGAAATTTGAATTTTATTTGATTTTTGCATCTCACAAAATATTCGTTTTTTCCTCTCAAGAATAAAAATGTGTAAAAACCATTCTTAGTTTATGAGTTGTAAAGAAACAGGGAGTTTGTTTCGGGTATATAATTCTACAATGCATCATCTGTATATTTTATTGTGTTCACCACCCTAAGTCATTATCCTTCTATAACCATTTATCCCACCCTTTACCCTCTTTTTACCTCCCCCAACCCTTCCTTCTATATATATATTTAAGTAGCTTTTATTTTTTTTATTATAAAAGTATGTTCACAGCAAAATTAATTATAAGGTACAGAGGTTGATAATGCAGGAGGTTACTTACACATGTGTGGGGTCAGGTGGTACGGGCAAATCTTTATATTTCTTGATATTATTTCTTTTTCTTTTACAGATGGTCCCTGACTTATAATGGTTTGACTTTACAGTGGTGTAAAAGTGATACCCATACAACCATTCTGGTTTTTTTTTTTTTTTTTGATACATGCCCCTAGAGGGAACCAAACCCAGGACTCTGTGGTCTGCGGGCCAATGCTCCAACTGTTGAGCCAAACCAGCCAGGGCTGTTTTTTAACTTTCAGTACAGTATTCAATAAATACATAAAATATTCAACACTTCAGTATAAAATAGGCTTTGTGTTCGATAATTTTGACCAAGTAGGCTAATGTGATTGTTGAACATGTATAAGTTAGGCTAGTCTAAGCTATGATGTTTGGTAGGTTAGGTGTATTAAATGCATTTTTGACATGAATTTTCAGCTTATGAAGGGTTTATTGACATGTAAGTTTGAGGAACATCTGTAATGTATTGCCAATAATTTCTCTTCCTTCATGGTTACTTGCACTTTAATATGTTTCAAGTGTGTTCATATTTGCTCAATGGAGAATTTTTATGATAACTGCTCTAAAATCTTTGTCCAATAACTCAATGTGTTAGCTTGATGTCTATTGATTGTCTTTTCTTATTGGAGTGAAGATTTTTCTAGTTTTCAATGTGACAAGTAATTTTGGACGGTATCCTATATATTTTGAGTATAACTTTATAAGGCTCTGGTTCCCACTTAAATCTTATTTAGCGGGTATTCAACCTGTTAAGTTCAGAATGCATATCCTGACTCACTTTAGTGGACTGTGATTCCAATGGTAGTTGAGGTTATAAAGTTTCTGCAAGGTGATGCTGCTAAACATTCTATAATGCACGGGACACCTTGCAGAACCACAAACTTTTCAGCCCCAGTGTCAGTAATGCTGAGGTTGAGATACCTTAATCTATGTAGGCTCAACAGGGGCCACCTTAGAGCAGGGAAAGGGCTTGGAATATAGCATCCCATCAATAAAGTCAGCTTCTTCAGTGCATTTTGGAGGTCAGAGGGGTGCAGCTTTCTTCATGTTTGCCTCAAGAATAGGCAGAATGGTGAGAACGTTTCTGTCATGTTAGCCCACCCTTTCCTAGCTTTTGGCTTTTCTTATGGTTAGTGTGCGTGTGTGTGTTGACATTTCCAGGTTGCAGCCCTTTATAACCTCAAGTTGGACACATGGGGGAAAGAAACACTCCAGGGTTCTCCTTCTAGTTCTGACGTCCCTACCTCCTTTGTCCATCCCATAGAATCTTTTAGTAAGTGACTTGTGGTGTTATGATTAGTGGCAGAAATAAAATGGATTGTTTTCATCATTTTTTTTTTTTTATCCTCACCCGAGGACATTTTTCCATTTTTTTGTACAGATAGAGTGGGAGGGAGAGAGAGGAAGAGAGAGAGAGGGAAACATCGATGTGGAAGGGACACCGACCAACCAGGGCCGGGGACAAACTGCAACAGAGGTACATGCCCTTAGCGGGAACCCGGGTCTCTCAGGACCGCAGGTGGACGCTCTAACCGCTGAGCCAAACCGGCCAGGGCTGTTCTCATCATTTTTGTCTTAAACCTTGACGAACTAAAAGTGCTTCATAATTTTAATTTTTTTCTTCTCCCAGCTGAGTTTGTTTCCCACAAATTGCGACTTTCAACTCGATTGATATGGTGTTTATTTTTCATGTTAGAGGCCCTTTTTAGATGTCTGGTATTTCTTTGTAGTCTATTTGAAATTAAGACTGTTAGAATAAAAAAAGTGACTGGAAACTGGGCTGTGGACATGGCTTATATATTTTGATATTCTCAGTGACAGAACTGGGTCAGTCATGGAAGCTGTTCATATTAGTATCTTTATAACATTTCTCTTGGGCTTTTCAGCTTGACAGATAATCAAAAATTCTTTCCTGAATGGTGGGGGTCTTATTGCAGGTTTCTGGAAGCTTAGGTGGAAGGTGTCTGTATCTAAACATTCTGCATTAAGTATGTTAATCATCTCCTAACCTTCCAATGTTGGTGTTCAGGGCCCTAAACTGTGCCTGGGACTCCCCAATGTGGATTACCTGTTTTGCTCTCTGCAGAAAACAAAACTCCACATTTCTGCAATACAAAGCTACATTAGTCCAGAGGTATGGAGTGGGGAGAAGACTTAGGTATGTAGCAATTGCATTCAAATAGCCACTCGCCCCTATACTCCTAGAGTTAACATTCCCTCCCATAGTCAGATCTAGATATACTGGTTCTTTTTGAGAATTCTGTGCTATAGATTATGATGTTTTCAGCTTTCTTTATGGTCCATTCAATTCTATTAGGTCAATTACTATTTATAGATTTGCTATTCAGCCATCAGAATCTTTTCTGTTAAGGCGTAGCTTTCACACAGTAAAATTTATTCAATCATGCAAGTTTTGACAGCCATATTACCACCAGAATCAAGCTATAGAAGAGTCTTACTTCACTGTCCAGCCTCCTGTTCCCTTATACAGTCAAGCTGTCCTACCTCCAGCCTCTTGAAACAACTAATCTAGTTGTTCATCCACATAGTTTTTCCTTTTCCAAAATATTATATATGTAGTCTTTAGAGTCTGATTTCCTCTAGTTAGCATAATGTATTTGAGATTCATCTATAGGATGGCCAGTAAAACCAACTTAGCATGGAATTTTATTTTCCGAAGGGTTTTTAACTATGAACCCAACTTCTGTAATACATATAGAACTGCTCAGGTTAAAGGTTTACTCTTGAGAGAGTTTTGATACCTTGTATCTTCAAGAAAATTATTCTTTTCACTTGAGTTGTTGAATTTATGGGAAAAAAAAGTGTTAGTAAATATTCCCTTATTATCTTTCTTTTTTAAAATTAATTAATATATTTTTGTTACAGATGTTTCTCCTTTTCCCCCCACTGATACCTCCCTCCCTGGCACTCCCCACCATGACCCAGTTTGTTTTCCATGAACTTTGTTCATGCATACATACATATAAGTTCTGTGATTTATTTCACCCCCACCACCCACTGTACCAGGCTGTTTTGACTACAGTGGCTTTGTAGTATAACCTGAGATCTGGTAATGTGACCCCTCCAACTTTGTTCTTCTTTTTCAAGATTTCTGTGGCTATTTGATGTTTTTTTTTTGTTGTTGTTGTTGTTCCATATGAACTTTTGAAGTATTTGTTCTAGTTCTGTGAAGTATGTTGTTGGTATTTTGATGGGGATTACATTGAATCTATAGATTGCTTTGGGTAGTGTGGACATTTTAATGATGTTGATTCTTCCAATCCATGAACAAGGTATGTGCTTCCACTTTTTTATATCTTCCTCTATTTCCTTTTTCAATGACCTGTGGTTTCCTGCAAATAAATCCTTTATTTCTTTGGTTAAGTTTATTCCTAGGTATCTTAATTTTTTTGCTGCAATGGTAAATGGGATTTTTTTTTTAGTTTCTCTTTCTGTGAGTTCATCATTGGTGTATAAAAATGCCATCAATTTTGTGATATTAATTTTGTATATTGCTACTTTGCAAATTCATTTATTAAGTCTAGTAAATTTTTGATGGAGTCTTTGGGGTTTTCTACATATAGTATGATGTCATCTGCGAATAATGACAGTTTCACTTCCTCCTTTCCAGTTTGATCCCTTTTATTTTTTCTCCTGTCTGATTGCTGTGGCTAAGACTTCCAGTACTATGTTAAATGAGAGTGGCAAAAGTGGGCATCCTTGCTTTGTTTCTGTTCTTAAGGGAAATGCTTTTAATTTTTGCCCATTGAGTATGATGTTGGCTATTGGTCTTCTATATATGGCCTTTGTTATGTCAATATATGATCCCTCTATTCCCAGATTGCTGAGCGTTTTTATCAGACATGGGTACTGGATTTGTTGAATATTTTTTCAGAGTCTATTGATATGATCATATGATTTTTATCT